AAGGAAAAATATAAAATATGTTGAACTTTGTTGTGACAGTGGCAATTGGTTTATCTGAGGGATGTGTCAATTGCTTTGCTTGGCTAATATGCCTGCCTTCCTCTTCCCTTGTCCTTTCTTTCACTGCATCCCTTTCTCTTTTTCTTGCCTCTGTGAGGTTTGGTTTCCTCCTTCTTTTCTTTACCTCTTTGCCTTTTGGCTGCGTGCAAGTGGGTCCTTGTGACACACGGGGATGGGGGCAGCCAGTGCTCAACCTGTCATCCATGTGGCTGGCCTTGTACGTAAGAAGTGATGAACAGGTGGGGCTTTCCTTCCTTCCTTCTTTTCCTTTCCTTGTTTTGCTTTTTTCCGCCTTCGCGCTCCGATTCACAGTGTGACAATATGTATTTTTTGATGTTATCGTTCTGACGGTTTTGGTGGTCGTTCGTGCTGGGCCGCAAACGTTCGGGTTCAGTCACCAAATGGGAACACGATGCTACGCAGGTCGCATTTTCCATTTTTGCCACTCTACCACGTGTGGGCCGACGGAAAAAGTACCCCAACTTCCGGTTGTTCTATGATTTATGTATATACAGGAGTGACCAATTTTGAAGAATTAGCCAAAATTTTGACTGGTTATGAAATGACTTTTTTTGGGACTCAATCGAGTGGTATGTGTTATCATATTATTGACTTGTTAGGTTTGGTAAAGTAATTGATACAAGAACAGGATAGCAAAAAAAAAAAACAAGAGTAGATACCCCATGAACAAAGTCATAGTTTCGTCCTCAGTTTGATATGAAGTACAAAAAATAATTAAAGGTAATAAAGTAGGTAATGTGGTAAAAAAGAAGAAACTTGTTTTTCAAGAGTCTGTAGATCTCAATCCAAGTGCGAGGAACAAGCCCTCTAGGGGCCCTATCAGACCACATGATCTGGGCTAAGGCCCCCTTCAAGCCGAGTGCCCGCCCTAAGTGAAGGCGGGCCTGAATATTCGTCAGAGGCAAAATTCCACATTTCCATATGTGGGTATTCAGGCTCTCGCGGCACGCCAGTTGGTTGGGTAGACGCACGAGCCTCACAAAGCTGCGCCACAAAGTTGGCCCAGGCCTTGACAGTTGCGCCTGGGCACATACACACAAAGCAGGGCCAATTTATTGGGAAGCATGCCATCGGCCTTTGCAAAAAGCAGTACTGCCGACGCACCTGCCTGGGAGCCCTGCACAGATGCAGTAAACAGCCTAAGTCCGGAGACTCAGGCCGTGCCCAACTGGAAAGGGCCCAGGCCCTCAACTTTAGTCTCGGGCCTGGGCGCAGGGTGTGAGGCCCAACCGGAAGCTACTGGAAGATTCCAGCCAGGCCACACGCAGCATCCAGGAGGCTGGCCCTTCCATAAAAGAAGTGAGGCAGCCCAGGCCAGGCATTCTGGCCAGTGCTGGCGATGCGGAAGTGCTGCTGCACTCTCGCTTGATGCTGCACTGCTGCCAAAGGCACTGACGGGGCGCGTAGTGGTGAGGAGGGGCACGTAGTGGTGAGGAGGGGCGCATAGTGGTGAGGAGGGGCGCGTAGTGGTGAGGAGGGGTGCTGCAGGGCAGCGGGGCACAGGCAGCCATAGCTGGGCTGCACGTGAAGTACCTGGGAAGTACCTAGGAACTGCAGGCAGGTAGTTCCTAGGTACTTCCCAGGCACTTCACGTGCAGTTCAGGAGGCAGGAGGTAGTCTTCAGGAATCGGCAGCAGCACTCTGGAGGAGCGCTGCAGGAGTAGTAGTAGCGTTAGCACTAGTCTTCAGCGCTGGGCGCTAGTAGCGTTAGCTGTAGTCTTCAGCGGTGGGCGCTACGGCAGGTAGAGTAGTACCATAGAGAGAGAGATTGGGCGGAGGCCAGAGAGACTTACCTGCAGTGCCATTGCTCCAGCTTCGTCTTCGAGGTACCTGCAGCACAGCGCCATCTTCACAGGTTAGTACCTGGCACATGAGAGAGAGAGAGAGTTCTTCTTCTTCCTCTTCTCAGTCCACCATCTCCTTCTCACCCTCTCGCTATCTGAGTCACACTGCATCAGCAGACTATGAGAGAGAGAGAGAGAGAGAGAGAGAGAGAGAGAGAGAGAGAGAGAGAGAGAGAGAGAGAGCTTGGTGAAATTTGGATCCGGACTCGATATTGGACTTCAGACATTTTGAAGAGGGATTATTTGGGACTTGTAACGAGACTTGGTGTTGACGACTCTCCCATCTCCCCCTTTGTGGCATACTGCGTAGCCACATGGGCCCTGCAGGGCCCGTCCCGGACATTCAGCCTAAAAGCCTAAAACTTAGGGCTTACAGGCCCCGTTCGTTTCAGATTTGAGCCCCAAACCCTAATTTCAGAAATTTCAGGCCTGAAAACCAGATGCCCCGTTAACCTCTTGTGAGTCAGGAGGCACCCGTGGTAGTACATAGGACTGTCCTAGGCACTTCACGGGTAGGTAGTTTCAGTTGGCACTGGTAGTCTTCAGGATTCGGCCGCAGCACTCAGGAGGAGCGCTGCGGTAGTCTTCAGCGCTAGGCAGGAGTAGCGCTGGCTGTAGTCTTCGGCGCTGGGCGCCATAGCTGTAGCTGTAGTCTTCAGCGCTGGGCGCTGGTAGGTGGTAGATCGTAGAGTGGGAGAGAGACTGGCGAAGGCCAGTGGTACTTACCTGTGGCGCCATCGCTCCAGCTCCATCTTCGTGGTACCTGCATCAAGGCGCCAACTTCACAGGTTAGTACTGGACACAGAGAGAGAGAGAGTTCTTCTTCTTCCTCTTCTAAGTCCACCATCTCTTCTCACCCTCTCGCCACCTGACTTCTCAGACTGTGACCGAGAGAGACAGAGTTGTGACTTGAGACTTGACGACATTGGATCCAGACTTGACATTTGGGGTTCAGACATTTCGACGAGGGACTATTTGGGCCTGTGCCGAAGACGTGGTGTTGACGACATTCCCATCTTCCCCCTCCTCTTTGTCTATCCCCTTCCTCTTCGTCTGTGTATGGTATGGGCTGGCGCAGTCTTCCTGTGTGAAACGCCAGACCCATTCACACCATGTAACGATGATGATGATGTATGTTCAGGACTGCATTACAACATTGATTGTTCGGATCACTGGTATCTAAGTCTTCCGCTGTGTTATCTTGTACTTTGTATTGAGAGGTCGGTTCTTGTTCTGGTCTGCACGTTACAATATGCAACAGTTTGGTATCGGAGCGGACCTCTCATTCAGAGGACCCGTTCAATCAAGTTGCTAGCTTGCGATCTATTGATCACTAATTAGTAACGCAAGTAGGACTTAGTCAAATCTCTGAATTTTTTATTTTTTTTCTCGCAACAACTATCTGAAATTTCTGATATTCGCATTTCGTTTTACCTGAAAATTTCTGATATTAGTAGTTCGTTTTTACGTGACAAATATCTGAAAATTCCCGATAGTAGCTTTTCGTTTCTCTGATATTTCGCATACATAGCTGAAATTTCTGAAGTTAGTATTTCGTTCTCTAGGCATATTGGGATAACGATAGAAGTGGTCATATTCTTGGGAACTGGAATTATTCTTTTCTGAAAAATCGAATTTCCATTCTATCTTGCAATTTTTTTGAAAACCGAAATCTTGCGAAGCCTACCAATATTGCGTTAGGCATATTCGGAGGTTGCTATATTCTCAGAAACTGGATTCGTTCTTTTCTGAAAATCGCATCTTTACTCCATTTCGCAAATTTTTTTTTTTCAAGATCGCAGTTTGTAAAAGCCGAAACTTTGCGGAACCTAGCCTAGATCTCGTTCATAATACTCTTCTGACATGTCCTACTCATAATAGATCGACAGATATACAAAAAAAAAAAGGAAGTAGTCCTCTTTTATTTTTTATTTTATTTTTTTTCTGTTGATTAGGGCCAGAGGAAAGTATTGTTGGGTTGGTTTCCTACCTACGTTTTCCCTCCCACCCACCCTTTGCATGCAGTTCCGGGTTGGTACAGTGACACGTCAGCTACAATGACACGTCAGCAGGCCACGTCAACAGTGACACGTCAGCTACAGTGACACGTCAGCATGCCACGTCAGCAGTGCCACGTCAGACAGTGCCACGTCAGCAGTGCCACGTCAGACACAGTGCCACGTAAGCAGTGCCACATCAGCAGTGCCACATCAGACATAGTGCCACGTAAGCAGTGCCACATCAGCAGTGCCACGTCAGACACAGTGCCACGTAAGCAGTGCCACGTAAGCAGTGCCACGTCCGACACAGTGCCACGTCAGCAGAGCCACGTCAGCAACATGACGGGCCTGTCGGGCCAACTGGCCAATGAGCCCATTGCCGACTACAAAAAGCGTTTCCATGCTCAGCTCGCTCTAATCGAGGCTGACGAACAACGCCAGCTGGCAGCCAAGGCTGCCCAGGTACAGGCTGAAGAAGCAGCAACAGCAGAGAAGCTGCGGCTACAGGCCAAAGCGGACGCAGATGCCCAGGCTCGCCGCAAGGAAGCCCAGGCTCTGCTGCAGCGGCATGAAGCCAACAGCATTGAGAAACTCGAGTACTGGCACTTTGAACCGAACGGCGACGAGCCAACACCGCAAGAGCAGCATAAGGAGTTCATGGCCAAGCTCGTGAGCAGGTTGGTTTACACTTGTAACCACCTACAGTCCGAGCTGGCAAACCTCCAGCGG